ACAGTAAAGAAGTTCTTCCTTATGTCCAGCCTGAAACGGTCTTGAAGTAGTTTGTGACCATTCGACCTCGTCGTCATCCCTTGGGGCACTCTGGTGAACAAACGTTCCCCCAGATACTGGTGGTCACCCCTGATAAACTTATAGGTGGCCATCAGATCACCCCTGAGCCTGCGCTTTTCCAGGCTAAAGAGCCCCAGGGCTCTCAGCCTGTCATCGTAGGGTCTGCTTCGCTGACCTCTGATCATGCGCGTGGCTCTTCTCTGGACTGAATTGATGCCTAACAGGTAGAATAAGATATGGCTTAGCATTCATGTGTATGTGCATGTGTGTGTGTGTTAGGGCCCTGACCTCCATCCTTGATGGATTTTAAGACCCAGCTAGACAAAGCCTTGGCTGGGATGATATAGGTGGGGATGGATGGTCCTGCTTTGAGCCGGGGGTCCCTTCCGAGTTCCTTCCTTTCCTGAGGTCCCTTCCAACCCCAATTTTTCTATGATTCTATGATTTAAATTAATGGTGTGATGGGATCTGATCCCAAAAAACATGGGCCCAGCTATGCCACATGTGCATGATAAGATGCTTGATATTGGGATCAGGGATCAGATCTCAATTGTGCCCTTTCTACTTGCCAGTGTAGGTGGAGCCCTGGATCATAATTTCAGACTCCAACTGCACTGGCAGGTTCAAAGCAGCATGCCCACAGCCCTGCATGTCAGGCTTCAGGTGCTCAGTTTTGAATTTGCTGTGTTATGTGGAGTTGATGGACACCCCCAGCTTAGCACTTAAATAGCTGTGTGCCCACATCCTCCCATGTGGGGCTGCCACCATGTGGCTTTGAATCTGCTGTGTGTGAGGGGATCCAGCTGACTTCTCTCACCATCAACACTTGTGTTACTCATGCCATAAATGTAATGTCTGCCAGGGACCTTAGAAAAAGAGCGAGTGCAAATAAGAATTGCAGATTTCAGTCATTTGTCTCCCTTTGAAAGTGTGTTGTGCCACAACAGGTCATTTTGATGTTTGTAACTCTTTGGTTAGCATCGTCCAAAATATGTCTTCTCCCATCTCAAAACTAGATCCGTTTACTAGACTATGCAAAGTCAAATTAGATCCATCAGAGTATTTGAAGTCCCTATGCTAGGCAATAAATCTAATTTGAAGTCTCTAGGCTAGGATATTTTTAAGGTAAGACATGGCAGAGAATAATTAAAACAAGATTACAATACTACAAAATTTTGAATAGAAATTGTATTCATTTAGGGACCACAGGAAAATCAGGTTTATGGGTAAAAGTAAGTCTCAGGGTAAGTTCTGTTAAGGCTGCCTCTTCTCAATAACTTGCTGTGGGAAGGAGCTAAAAGTCCTGGTAAACCACCACCGTCAAGAATATCAACATTTCTACGGAAACAAGAAAGGGCATAGTTAGGTATTTTTGTGAAGACATTACTTGTAAAGTAGAACTCTGTGAATAATGTGAGTCAACCTAAAATGAAAATGCGCAGTTTTCTTACTGAAACTTCACCCACCCTAAACTTCTTTCAGGTTGAATAAAATAATGTATGCATCAGTTCATGTATAAATTCAGATTGCAACATAAGCTAGGGGTTGGAGGGGGGAGGAAGCTAGTTTTATTTTGTGGAAGATTGGTGCTTAGCTGTCACAAGTTCAGGATATGTTGACTGCCTGTACATAGGTTGCCACACTGTGGCCTTCATCAGGCAGGCTTGTGTTCCCTGAACAGTGCCTCATCCAGCCCCAGTATTAAACAGCATCTTTTCCAGGCTGGTTTTTGTTCCCTTGAACAGCCCCTCAGCAATAGAGTCTTTAAACAAGCATAGCAAATATACAAAACCTTGACACTGGGAAAGGTCCCCCTTGACTCTGATCTTAACAGCGGTCTTGTCTTCCATGCAGTTCAGCTCACCATTGCTTCTTCTATGTTTGCACTCTCTGGGCACATCCAGATGAGGGCAATCGTGCGGTATGTGGTGCTGCAAGCATGTTTCCAGAGCCACATTCTGCACAATATGGTGTTCTGTGCACCGTGGGGGGTGGGGGGGCGGTTTCTGCAGGTTTTTGTTGGGGTTTTTTGACCCCTGGATATCCAGCATGCACTGCTGAAAAGCAGAGCAGGGCTGCCTGGAGCCGTGCTGTGGCTGCCAGCCAGGCTCCACCCAGCAGGATCACTGTGGCTGCAGCCCCAGGAGGCCCCCAGGACCCCAGGTAAGGCTGCTGGGGCCAGCCCAGTGTTGGCCACAGCCTCCCATACCGCCCCAGGGGTAACTTGCTGCACACCAAAGTGTGCGTGGCACAGGTATTCCCTAGGGACAAGTAGCTGCCCTGCAAGGTGCACTGTTGCTACTTGTCCCTGGGGAACCAAACATCCATGCACATTTGGACGTACCTCTGCTTCCTAGGGTTTTTAACACCAGCAAGTCACTCCTTTATTAGCAGCCTTTTGACAGCTGTAGCTCCTCAACCAGGCTGGCAGACTCCTCTTAAGAGGGCAGACCACCCTGTTACATTACCGTATTAAAATGTAACCAAGTGGTGGTGAGATTTGGTTTTTGAGGTTAGACACAGAACAATAAGGATATTCAAATGTATGTAACTTAATTAGGAGAAACTGAGTTTAAGTCTTTTGTAGAAGACATAACTATGCAACACAAACCATAAAGATAGTTGAAATATCTGGTTTTTGACATTTTGAAAAGTATTTTTGTATATAAAGTGCACTTAGAGCATGAGGAGTTGTGAAAAGTCTCATACTTATTTTTTCAGCCTTGGTGGTATTAATATTGAGAAGCTTTGAGAAATCATGGCATATTTCCAGAGGAAGACATTAAAAGCATGAGAGAACGTAAAACACCCCATCTTGTGGCATGCAGCAATTTCATAATATGTTGCAAGTGGGGGACTCGATTGATTGAAATATCTTAAAAGGAAAACAATATTATGAAATTATACATTAGTTAATGGCTGTTTGAGTCAGACACATTATTTATGAAATGGTATCAAGAAACTGAGGACAAGCAGTACTTAGTTTATACTTAGTACTAGGCTGTTCTGAGCCTTTCTCGATAGAGTGGGATATCCTAAAAGTGAAAAAACTCTGTGTTCTGTTACCAGCCTCTCCTTTACAAGAGGTCTTAGAAACAATCACATTTTTATTCCTGTTTTTAATAGCAGAGAAAGATGCAGAACAATTGCCCAGCCTTTGGCCTGGAGTAGTGTGCAGTTTTCGTTTTTTCTTTAAACAAAAAGGTTGGCCAATGTATTTCCTTTCCTTTATTGCCTGTTCTGAAGAGAAGAGGTATTTATGCATGACTGTACTGAAGACCTATTTTAAAATGATATAATTTGTAGAGTGAATAAAAGAATATTGTCTAACTTTGACATACTAACCAGAATACATCAGGATATGATAGAACCTGGGACTTCATTGCTTTTGGCTGAGAAAGGTGAGACTAGGATTAAATAGAATTAAATCTTCCTTTTTGAAACTGTTGAAAACCATGTCTGGACAGTTGTGTCTTAGCTTAGTCCTGAAAATGATTTCTGAGTTCCATAGAACGGTCATAACTAGATAAACATATGTGTATTCATTCTGAACCAAATCATGGCAATCTCTTGATGCAAAGATTGTATGTCCCCCAAATCTTCCTTTAAGAGCCTTGGACCTGACACTCTAAGAGAGGTTCATTGAGATGGAATTTAACGGGTGTTGAATTTACTGTGACATTTCTTCCCATTACTGAGAATACTCTGGCAGGAGTGTGCAGGCTGCACAACGCATGCTTTTCAAGGCTCTGAGAAATGAATAGGTAGATAGTTTAGCCTATGGTTGCCTGTGACAACATATTGTAGAGGGAGAAGCTCTGGCTGTGGAGGAGGTCCCAGGGATTACAACCACCCCACATTTACCTCAGGTGGAAGAAGAAGCACAGCTGGAGCCTGAAGCACCTTGCCGTCTTTCCTCAGTGATTGCTCTGTCCGGATTGGTAGTCAGGGAGTTCAAAGCAGTACTTCCAGCCCTGAATGAAGGACGGGACTGCAGCTGATTCACAGTTAGTGAACTGAGTGAATTGATTTAATTCGCTTTACTGTTGAAGGCTGTTAGCCAGTTAATGAAAGGAGCTGAACCCTGAATGAACAGTGGACCAAGTAGGATAGACCCACTGATTGGCTTCTATGGAATCAATTAAAAAGGCCTAACCAGGACCCCAGTGGCATAGAAAAGACTGCTCTGCTATACTTGTAACAAGGGGTCATGCCCGAGTAGAAGAATTTGGATAATATCTAGGGTGTGGTAAGAGAGGCAGTGCCACAAAGAAATTCCTCCAACGGGCCCAGACTTATCAGCCAGCATAACCAACTCACACCTCGGAAAAAGATCAAAAACTTGGTAGGCGAGAAAGACGACACAGGAGACCAGCTGTGATAGCATTGATCCTCCATCCTGGTGTCGTCCTCCAGTAAGACGCTGGGCCAGAGAAGGCCTAGGCCATACAGTATCTACCCCCAACACAGATATCCAAGGGAGGTATTCAGCTACAATAATAATGTGTCAATCTGGACTGATAGTATAATATTGCTTGATATATCTTGCATTTGCTTTCTATCATTTTCAGTTATTTCCATTTATTCCTCCCTCATTATTATAGACAATTGAGAAAAACAAAGAGGAACAGGAGTTTCTTCACCTATAAATTATGATTTAAAATGTGTTGTATTTTTTGAGTCCTTTAACTCAGCTGACTCTTTCACTTTTTTCATCACATGAAGAAGACTGCCATCAGGCTTTGCTTTGTGATCACTGATAAAGACAAATTAACTTAGTATGCAGTCTGTAGTTTTGCATGTTCCATGGCTATTAAAACTGGTGTTGTCTAATGTTAATAAAAATTTTAAAACTGTGTAAGTACGTTAGCATGACAAAACAATGCAACACAAGGGGTATATCACATCTAACTGCATATTTGTTTGTTTCTCTCTCTCAGGATAGAGAGGCCCAGAAAGATTTAGAAACTTTACTTCTAACACTGAAGCCATGATTAAAAGCACTTTTAAGTCTTCCTACTGTGAAGATACTGTAGAAGATCAATGAGAAACTAGTCACAGGAGACTTTCAAAACTTGTTGAAGCCCATGGAATAACACTCATTGATTTCTGCGGGATTTGGTTCGGGTCTTTAAGCAGTTAGGATATGCAAATAATGTTTTCCGACTTTTTGAATCATAGCTTTATTTTTAATTTTTGGATCTAAGATTTGTTTTAAATGGTTATTGCTGGAAGTTTATTTTTCTTACCATGAAGTCCACTGCTGGCAATGGTCACCACAGAGGCTAGAATACAAAATGCATTGATCTGTGTTCTTTGAAGGATCAGTTAATCTGCAGCATTAGCACAGAATTGTGTGCAGCATTAGCTGCTTTGTCTTTACATTAAATTATATTCTTGTCAACTGATCTATATAAATATTTGTAAATGTAAATCATGAAACATATTGTTATATGTGTGTTCCTCTGCTTTTACTCACAAAAATATGTAATCTTAATTACATTAAGGAAAAAAATAGTCCTAAAAAATACTTTTTACATTTAACCTATTGGTGGCTTTCCTGGAAATATGAAAAAATTACAGATTGGGTATTACATTTGTATATTATGTTATTTGAAACCTCTGCCAGTAAAATATTAAAACCAGACCAGTGAAATGAAGCATTTTGGCTAAATCTGTTCCAATTTTGACATGTCAGTCTGGAAAAAAAAAATGTTTGAGCCCCATCAGGTATATGAATCCTGGGCAAGTCTCTTTACCATCTTAGGGTGGTGTCAGATGGTCTTTTGCAACCCTTCTCCTGTTTATAACGATTATAGATCTTTTATGTGAGGTCTGTCCAACTTTGGTGCAGCTAGGCAGGGATGGGCAAAATGCAGCCAGGCCATTCTGTCCAGTCTGCAGGGCCCCTAAAAAAATTAGAAAATGAATATTTATCTGCCCTGGGCTGCCTGTCATGCGGCCCTCGATGGCTTGCCAAAACTCAGTAAGCGGCCCTCTGCCCAAAATAATTGTCTGCCCCTGAGCTAGGGGATGAATGTAAGAAGTGATCAAGGGAAGTGATTCTTCTGTTCTATTTAGTACTGGTGAGGCCTCATTTGGAGTAGTGATTATGAATGAGGGTGGTTAAGCAGAGCATTGGAACAGGCTACTCAGAGAAAGTATAGAATCTGCACTCTTTGAAACTTTCAAAAGCAGTTTGGACAGACACGTGGCTGGGATGGTTTAGTCAGAGACGATCCTGCTTTGAGCAGGGGGCTGAACTATGAGATTTCTTCCAGCCTTACCTTCCTAAGATCCTATATGGTGCCTATATATAGCCCTGGGGCCACGCACCATGCAGGCTGCATAAACAGTCCCCTACTTCCAGCACATGGCCCCCCCTGCAGCCTAGGCAGTAGCACATAGATCCCCTGCTCCACCACCACATGGCTCCCCCAGCCTCCGACACATGGCAGCAAAAGGGGTGGCCACTGGGGCCCATGAGCCGCATATTAACTGCAAACCTCCAAGTGGACAGTCCTGTTTTATTTCATGTATCAAACCAGGAGTTTATGGAGCAGCAGGTATCTCAGACTTGTGTTCATTTGGAAACTGAATCAAGGCTTACTGAAGTTAGTAGATTCCAAATCCGTCAAAAAGCTTTAGATCAGGAGTTTAATCTGGATTAAAGTATATAACCAGAACAAAGAAACAGTTTTTATAAACGTTAATTGAAACAAGTTAGGTGAATGTATAAATCTTCTTTTATCCTTTGTTTGGTTGGAAAATGAGGTAATGAGTACCAATTGACTGATAAAAGAGTATAGAACTCTACAGCTTTTAAAACCAATGGCATACCCCACTCTGTTTCTGAAGTCTGTGGTATTGCACATACAGCTGCTGTGATTTTGGCCCTCAGTTTAGGACTGAATCCAGACCACACACCAGACTCACTAGTGCAGAACATTTATTATCATGTCACAAAACCAGCCCTCTAGAGAGTTTAGAAATGCACATTACCGCTACCTTTAACAACTTGGCTTATTTTGTCATGCATGTGGATTAAATCTGTTCTTTAAATTAAAACCATTTCTTATGAAATTTTCACTTTAAATTACATTACCAAACTTCTTCAGAGCAGCTTTTCTAAACTAAATCACTGTGCTGTTTTAATTTTTTCACCAATATTATTTGTCTGTATGTAGAAAAAAAGGGTTTCAAAACTACAGTTGAATACAGCTCATTTAAGTAATTGTTTGTGATCTATGAACTATGGAAGTCTTTTGCACACCATTTTATTAAACAGTAATTTTCTCCTTAATAAATTCAGAGGTGTTCTCTCAGTTCTTTCTTTGTATTTTTTACCAGCAACGATAGTGAGTCCATTAAGTACACAATACTTTCTCTGGTTTTATTTTCTGTTTTGCCAATCTTGTGACATTTGAAATTACCAATTTTTTCCCTCAAACTTTTGTTTATTAGTTCTCTGGTTAAAACCTTTAGTTAGACTTCAGTCCTGAGGCTCTGTTCCTCAGACAATAAAAACTTGGTAGTTGAGGAACACTGAACTATCCCTAGATAACTTTTACTCTGGTATTTCAGTGGGAGGAGTAGTAAATGGCCATACACTTTCCTTCACGCTTTAAAGCATTCAGGAGAGGAGCAAGGACTTCCTGAGGCCCACCCACGGTGGAGAGATGCTGATTAACTTCTTTAACCCCATGGGGACCTGGAGACAGCGTGAAAGAGTTAGGGGCACTATCAATATGCAGCTATGACTTCTTAATGTGATGACTAATATAGTCTCACTCGCCAATTGTCCATCAAGAATGATGGGAGGGTGGAGCCCCGTGCCTCACCCCACCCCTGTCTGGGCTCATTCCCTGCTTCCCTCCTGCTGCTTGGGGTCTGGGCCATTCCCCATCCCCCCACCACTGTGGCAGAGTAAAGGGAGGAGCGGACCTGAGCCCAATGCAGGGAAGGACTGGACCCAAGGGTGGGGATAAGCCAGGCCACCACAGAGGAGGGAGCAGCAGACCTGGGCTGACCTTGTGTCAAGGGGACTGGAAGAGCG